CCAGAGGCCTGTCAGGAAGGACACAAAGGAAAATAAGAACTGGATGATGAAAATTTGGTTTGAATTGGAGAATGAAGAATGGCGAGATCTCCTTATGTGGAGATCTGAAGACCAATGGATTACAAATTTGATCAAGATGGAAGTTGGAGCTTTTGGGACATTTAGATTCAAAAGGATTAAGAAACAAGATTTGAGCTCCACTTTTAAATATAGAGGTCTGGCTGGAAGAAAAATGGACATTATCGAGACAGAGCTTCTCCGAGATTTGGTGTTTGATATAAAGGACTATCAAAAAAACTGGCAAAGAGGAACTGAGAGAGAATTAAGAGCCTCGGATGTGAGGTCTCCAGGCTGATAGCAGATAGACTGATGGACATTGGGGATCGAAACCGGGAAAGGGGGGGTGGAGTTTGGGAATCCAAAGGGTGTATAACTATATTTTGATTCTTTCTTCTTTTTTATTTTGTTTTGTTATGAGTATAAAAATGGGGAATTCGTGGAAGGGAACTGGGGTCGATCTTAGAAAAAGATTCTAATGTATAAAGACTGAGGTTTATAAGGTAAAATTGGTTATATAAAATGAATTAAATATAATAATGAACTAAATACAATAAGGTCAAAAATTGGGGATAAGAACTTGTTGAACCAAATAAATGGAATTGGAATACAAGAAGGGGAGGTGTGGGGAAGTCTTGGAAATATGTCATTGAAAATAAGGCTTAAATGGCGAATGCTTTTTAAATTTTTCTTTTCTTTTTTCTCTGTTTGTTCTTTTTCTTTTCTTTTTCTGGATTTTTTGAAAATCTCAATAAATATGTTATTAAAAAAAAAAATAGTGAAGTGTAAAACCTGAAAAGTATATTAAAAAAAAAGGCCTGAACAAAACAGCCAGATTTTATGTTTTTTCAGCTGAAGGCCAGCAGTGTGGATGTCCACTGAAATTTCGGCAGGAGGGCTTTCCTGAGCCAGAAATCCACTGTATCACCAAGCATACAGTTCCCAGTGGCAAGACATTCAGGTGGGTCTTCCTGGAAGATCTCTGCTGACAAGAAGGAATTGTGTACACGCCATACACTTAAAGCATATTTGAAGCACAGGACTCTCCCCCCCCCCCCAAAAAAAAAACAACCCTGGGAAGTGTAGTTTGTCGAGGGTGCCAGGAAATTGTAGCTTTGGGGGTAAGCTATAGAAGAAGAATCTTTATTTGCATCAGCCACTAGCCATAGCAATAAAATAAAATAAAATGTACTGAAGATAGAGGTGGAAACATAACTATAGAAAATACATTGGGGGGGTTACGTCAATAATCAAATAATAGATCTAATTCTAATTCCCCCCGCTAAAAACCTTGCTACAGGGTAAGCTAGAGTTCCTGGGGTGCTATATGTATGGTATGGATGCAGCCACAGAGCAAGTCACTCTCTCAGAAATATACAGACAGCATATTTTCTCATGAGCCAGAGGGGTGGCTCTGAATAAGACGTGAGGCTTTCCCAAAGTAAAGGAAGGATTGAACTCTGATTAATAAGAATGCACACAGAGGCTTGAACCAGCAAGACTCTGGGAAGGGTGCATATAATAATCTCTTCGTCCCTCCACCCCTCAGCCCAGGTCGTTTTATTCACGAAAGAACTTTTTACAGAGTGTTCTAAGAACCAATCAGATTTCTTCTGAGCATCTCAACAAACCCCACGTGGGGACAACGTTAAACTACAAACACTAGTTAAGCATGCATACTTTTGGAGTAAATGAATGAAAACTACCAAAGAGTGCATTCAGCAACCCCGGAGGTCATGAAACAATCAATACACATGATAAGAAGGATAGCCAGGAGGACAGCGATCATTATCACTTTATGTGAGACCTGTTTCCTGGCCCTAAGATTAACATCCTAAGATTAACATATCAGAAAAGCTACATCAAAGAAACTGCCCATTGTCTTTGATGACCCAGCATGCCTGCCTGCAGTACAGTGACTTGTCAAGCAAGAGAAATGGACAGTAGAGGAAATGGCCAGAGATGCAGAGGGTTGTGGGATTTGATAAGAAATTACTGACAATGTCTCAGACCCAGTCAACACAATGCATTCATCGTGGACACAATGGCTTGATGCATATTGTATAATTCCTCATAGTAATCCCACCTGACCCCACACTCTGGATATTTGCACTCCTACAAAGACGCCATGTGCAGTTTCCACAGGAATACTCCTTGCCAGAGTTGAGTCAAGAACCCCGCCAGGATTGATAGCCGTCAGTGGAAAGGAGAGAGGTGGACTTACCGAGGGATGCTTTCGAAAGGACTGAACTCGGACGGGTTTGCTTACTAATCCATAACAACTCGTTGGCCTGTTTCTAGAGACAGATGAAGAATTACAGCAATTAATTTGCATTGTGAAAAATAATTCTATTAGCTGGAAACATCGGAGGGTTCTGTTTTATAGCAGCAGGCAAGTGCATATTTTATGGACCATGTTCTTCATTAACCTGATGGATTGAGGGAGGCTAATGAGCTTCCATCTACGGTCTTTCCAGTTTCTACATATTGACATCATTATTATATATTTTTATGGCTTGTGCCAGATTTGTAATTTCTGGCTCGGTTCTATCACATGCCTGTCAAATGGCGATCGTTGCTATTTGACTTGAGCCTTCTTGTTGACAGTGCTTCCTTCCCATCTGCAAAGCCTTTTACTGTATGGTCCTGGTTCTGCTTTGCAGGAAGAATGCCTCAAGTTCAATTCTTGGTATCTCCTGGTAGGACTGGGAAAGTCTCCCTGACAGATACCACGGAGAAACATTGCCAGTCCGTGCTGAGGCTGAGCTAGTTGGAACAATGGTCTGATCAGGTATCAGGCAGCTTCCTATGTTCCTTTTGAAATCACCTGTATTTATGTCCAACAGAAACAACCATGGTGACCCCTGCAGAAAAAAATGATGGTTTTCCCCTCCCTCTTCAGGTGCTTCAAATCCAGTAAAGGAAACAACACAGGGAAAAGAACAGAGCCTCCAAGTGTCCCTATTTTTCCAGGGACAGTCCCGGATTTACAGAAGCCATCCCGGTTTCTTATTTGATCCCGGAATGTCCTGCTTTTCCTTAGGACGTCCCTATTTTCATCGGATAAATGTTGGAGGGTATGGAGTTGAGCAACTCACAAGCCAACAAGGTATGTAACTATACAACCTTTAGAAGACATCTGAAGGCAGCCCTGTATAGAGAAGTTATTTTTAATGTTTAATGTTTCATTATGGCTGGGGTAACCCAAGAATCAGCTACACAGGTCAATTTATAATGTTAAAAATGTGCTATAAAATGTGACACCAGATGGCGCTGTAGAGCAGAATTGAAAGTCAATGGCAGGTTGCCTTGGGAGCTCCCTCCCCCCCATTAGCTTCCCCCAACCCTCCTCTGACCTGATCAGCCTCTTCCAGCTTCTCTAACATGTCCTGTGCCCCCATCCCTGACAGCTCTGACCTCTCCTCTTGCCCTGGCTCCTGCCTCTGGGGTGGCACTGAAGCCCACAAATCGCTGGTTCTGGTTCTCAAGTCAGTCTCCAGCACACACTTATCACAGCCCTGCCAGTCCCTGACATCAAGTGAGTGGGCTGCCTTCAGAGAGAACCAGGGTGGGAACAGTTGCTAAGGCCATTGGTGGTTTCATCTGTGTGAAATGTCTTACGTTGGTTTCTACCTAAGTGTTTCCTTAAATGGGAAAATCTTGATTTTTTATTCTATTTTTTTACATTCTAGATTTGCTTGTTTACTTTATGACAGACTTGCCATTTCGTTGTTTCCTGGACCTGTTTATATGATTTTGTCACTCTTTTCATACTGTTCTTTTTCCCTCTGCTTATTTTTATTATTTTGTTCCCTGCTCTGGAGACGCGGGTGGTGCTGTGGTCTAAACCACAGAGCCTAGGGCTTGCAAATCAGAAGGTCGGCGGTTCCAATCCCCGCGACGGGGTGAGCTCCCGTTGTTCAGTCCCAGCTTCTGCCCACCTAGCAGTTCGAAAGCACGTCAAAATGCAAGAAGATAAATAGGTACCGTTCCAGCAGGAAGGTAAACGGTGTTTCCGTGCGCTGCTCTGGTTTCACCAGAAGCGGCTTAGTCATGCTGGCCACATGACCCGGAAGCTGTCTGCGGACAAACGCCGGCTACCTCGGCCTATAAAGCGAGATGAACGCGCAACCCCAGAGTCGTCTGTGACTGGACCTAATGGTCAGGGGTGCCTTTACCTTTACCTTCCCTGCTCTGAGATTGAAAATATTCAGTGAAGAGCAAGCTAGAAATAATTTTAATAATAATAATACATATGAATAAATAATAATAATAACAACAACAACAACAACAACAACAATACAAACAAATAATTTCCTTGCCCACCAATTTTATCCTGCAATTCACACCTCCCATCAGAATTGGAGATAGATGCCTTCACCTTATTCCACATTCTGCAAACAAGACACAGAAGGGAAGCTGTGGGAAGAAAATAATCTTTTCCCAAAGCTCCGGAAATTCATGGGGACTTTGTTAACAGCCTTGCGTGGCACCTTAAGACTAAGCAATTCAAGCTGCAATCCTGTGTACAACCTTATAAGGCAGCAATCCCTATAGAATTCAGTGGGGCTTACTTCTTGGTAACGTATGATGATTGTAGCATCAGCCCACACTATAAATTGTGACAGCAGGGACCCCTCATAGTGATGGAGAAGTGGTTAGTTTTGCCATGGAAATTCAAAAATTTACTTGCCTACTCTCGCTCACTATTGTGCAAAAAAAACACCCCAGTGATTGCCACTAGATGGCAATGTGTCTCAAGGAATAGAGAAACAGAATAAAATTCAGAAAAGATAGTTGGAGCACACCAGAGCGTGCTCTGGGTTTGGTTCTAAACTGTGTTCTTTGAAATTATTAGTGTCCAGTGATTTTTTTTCTGGGGAGACGCAGGGGTACACATACCCCTAAACATTTTGTGAATCTAAGTTTAGCCTCATTGAGGGGCAGTATTTCAATATGAGTAGGAAAATGAGAGTACCCCTAAACATATTTTTTTAAGAAAAAAAGGACTGTTTGTGTTCCAGTTGCCCAGGCACATGATGAGCTTCTCTCTGAGGTGCTTGCTAAGTGTATTAGTCAAACAAAACTTTATTGTGGAGTCAACCTGCTATGACAGTTTAGAGCAGTAAATGTGACTGTCAACCCAAACTGCCACTGTACATTTCCAAGGGAAAATAAAAACAAATAAAACTTAACATTAACATAATCTGATGGCGTTTTTTTAAAAAAACTACATGATATGCATCTGCACCATAAAGAATAAAAAATGTGATGCCCAAATCACAGCAAATTATCTCCAAATTATCCTGTGTGTACAGAAATTCCCAGCAGGTTAAATCTGCAAAACTTGCAAAAGAAGCTACTTTTCAAGTCACAGAGACAGACTTCCACTTAAAAGCAGTCGGATATAATAGCAGAAAGCCACTGAGGAATATTTTAAAGAACTAGATCCAAAAACCATTTGTTATACATATTTTATACCAAAGATTCTGCTTAATGAGCAGAGGATGTCTTCAGTAGGAATTACCGAATGTGTCAATTTTGGCTTCTTTCTATTTTTCATTTTTCCAGTCTTCAGAGTTCCACATCACTTTCCCTTTAAAAAAAAAAGTGCTTACGAAAATTCAGCAGCAGCTTAGTGTGGATTTACCCTAATATATCCATGTAGTATGCATTTTCCCTAATACACAAAAGTCTGAGAAGCCATTTTCCCCCATATAATGCATTTTGTATGTTATTTTGACTAATATATGCATTTCTAGGCACACTTCTCCTCAGTATATGCATTTTTGTACACATTGCAGTATGTGGCTGGAGAGTTGCACTGGAAAACTGGAAGGTGTACAAATTTCAAAGGATAGTGGCTTTCATACGGTTTCAGAAAGTATGGATTAGGCATAGGAGCCAACTCCTAGAGACCGAGGTCCCTTCAGCTCTCTCAATAAAATATTTGAGAGGGCCACTGCCGCCGCCACCCCCAAAAGTTGATGGGCATTGCCATTCAAATGGTGTGTATGCGCTACATCATGTGATCAATTATGCAGGGTGGGGCTTACCTGCCCCCACCCCCATATTTTATTCAAGTTGGCATGCCTGGAATTAGGTAAGATTGCCTCTGCAGATGAGACCTGGCTGACAGAGTCAAAAAAGGTCAGTTCAACCCCCCTTCCCAGGGAAAACTCTGTTAGCCCTTAAGAAGAGGAAGAGTTGGAAGGTAGCCAGAGTGTTGCTAGGCAATCAGCAGATAAGCAGAGGTCTGAGTCTGTGTTGAGTGAAAGTGGGGAGGGGGAAGGTCAGCCTCTCAGCCCCTGTTCTAGGCGTCTGGATAAGATCAGATGGCAACGGAAGGGCAAGAGGGGAAAGGGAGGAGTTTGGCGTCCTTTCTGCTGTGGGAGGGGCGAAAATTCAGACTGACCAACTATTGTAAATTCGAGCAGGCAAGAAGTCGTGCTCTGGATGTGTCTTGTAAATAAACATACATAAAACTGCTGGAGAGTCTTTACTTCTTATCGGGCTTGCTTGCCTGCCAGAAATCATTACAGCAGCTATCCCTGGTTTCAGGCTCAGATCTTTCCCATCACCTGCTCCCTGATTCTTTGAACTGAAAATGCCAGGAAATTGGACCTAGGACCATTATTATGGACCATTGCACATTTTGCTAGTACAGTGGTACCTCGGGTTACATACGCTTCAGGTTACATACGCTTCAGGTTACAGACTCCGCTAATCCAGAAATATTACCTCAGGTTAATAACTTTGCTTCAGGATGAGAACAGAAATCGCGCTCCGGCAGTGCAGCAGCAACAGGAGGCCCCATTAGCTAAAGTGGTGCTTCAGGTTAAGAACAGTTTCAGGTTAAGTACGGACCTCCGGAATGAATTAAGTACTTAACCCCAGGTACCACTGTATGGGAAGGCATTTCTTCCCAGGCTTTCTTTAAGAGAACCGTTTGCATGGGCTGTTGCATATTATATGCAAGATGCATATCTTACCTGTTTGTTCATTGGGGAGCATAGGGTTAACCAGCTTGCAAATATCAAGGCACAAAACTTGGCATTGTGGTAGTGAGAAAAGTCACAGCCCCATCTAGGGTAGTCATTTCTTCCTGTGGCCTCCTGTGTGGTGCTCATGATTGACATGGGACATTTATATCAGCAGGTGAACATCCAGAATCTCATTCAGTTCAAGATCATGCTCAACACAATAAAAAGAAAGGCAAACAAAAAGCTGCAACTCAAGTAAGCATCTTCTGAGAGCCTGGTGAGTTGAGGGGCTGTTCAGTCCAGGGAAAGCAGATTGCATTTTTATTTGCTTTATTTTGCAGATGTGACCCCTGAAAAGCTTTTTCTTTATTTCAGCAGGCTTATGACATGTATGATGATTGATTTATCTTTTGGTCTTTTCCTTCATTTTAAAAAAAAAATGGTTATCCCTGCTGTGTTATTGTTATTTTGTTTTCAAAAATTGCTATACCTAACTCTTTTTTAGTTGTAAGCTACTTTGGGCTGCTTATACACACCGGAAAATTGGAATATTAATGTGTTTTAAAGCTCAGATGGTAGAGCATGAGACTCTTAATGTCAGGGTCATGGGTTTGAGCCCCACATTGAGCAAAATATTCCTGCATTGTAAGGTCTTGATGGTCCCTTCCAACTCAGCGATGCTAAGATTAAAAATAAGTGCTCCACTTCACAGGATTCTCTGGGCGAATCTACACACCGGGGGGGTGGGCACTATAAATAAGTCAGAAATTAGAGCTCCAGAACAGATCCCTTTCGCAACCGGAGGTACCGCTGTACATAGCTCCATCCTTATTTCAGGCATTATGATATATCAGTATATCGTGATGTTTAAAGGTAAAGGTAAAGGGACCCCTGACCATTAGGTCCAGTCGTGACCGACTCTGGGGTTGCGGCACTCATCTTGCTTTATTGGCCGAGGGAGCCGGCGTACAGCTTCCGGGTCATGTGGCCAGCATGACTAAGCCGCTTCTGGCGAACCAGAGCAGCGCACGGAAATGCCGTTTACCTTCCCGCCTATTTATCTACTTGCACTTCGTCGTGCTTTCGAACTGCTAGGTTGGCAGGAGCAGGGACCAAGCAACGGGAGCTCACCCCGTCGCGGGGATTCGAACCACCGACCTTTTGATCGGCAAGTCCTAGGCTCTGTGGTTTAACCCACAGCGCCACCCGCATCCCTTATCATGATGTTTAGCTGGTGATATATTGTGATGTGGAAAACCAGATATTGCCCAGCCCATGGGAAGGCTATTGTAGTTTTTAAATGTAGGTCTGTTCTTAGGAGAGTGGGGGAGAGGGTCACAATTTTTTCTTAATGCATCCCCCTCCAATGCATATTTATTCAGAAGCAGATCCCCCTGAGTTTGAGATTTATTCCCAGATGTCTCCAAAGGATTGTACCCTTAATTCACATGTTCCGGTCTTCAGGATTTTGATGCAATGGGATTCGGGTTCAGGGTGTTAAGTTGTGGGTGAACATATCAGACGACACAGCAATTCTTCGAACAGCTCTTGTTTATTCACAGGCCAGAACAGAACTGAACTGAAGGGTTCAGTCAGCCTGCTTATATAGAGCTCCAGTACAACGTAACTGTAACAATTTCCTAAAACTATCCAATCACTGAACGTCACTTTCGATCCCTTATTTGCATAACTATCTACAGTATCCCCCTTGCTGGCCCAGGGTAAGAACTTCAGTACATAACACAGGGCTTATGTGTGCAGGCGTGCGAATACACGCTCGCACGCCCTTCTCACCATTTTGCTGTGCTGCCACCACAAACACAGAGATGCGTCCGCTAAAAGCAGCCTCTCTACCTGAAACACTTGACTGGTAGCATCCTGGACAGTCTCCAGTGGCGACTGCCCACTTCCCATCAGAAAGAAAGCTGGCAGGAAAAAGAAAAGATGACTCAGCCTGATTTCTCATTAGAGGCAATAAATGAGAAACTTTGGAAGAGAATAGGACTCCTTATCCCATAATGCCCTTCCCTTTCCGCAGGAGCTCCACCTTAGGCGGATACTTCACGTGTCTCTTTAGTATGTAGGTCTGCTTACATTTGTTTGGTGATTACTCAGAAGGTTCTCTGTGCTTTTTGGTTCATTAGCACTTTCCCAGAATGCTGACTTCATCCTTTGTGTTCCCAGAACCATAATGACTCTGGGTCCTCCTAGCAGCTGCTGATCGATTGTATTTCACCTTTTCCTTGGGCTGGTTAATGTGGCAGCTTTCTGCAGTAAGACTATAGCTCAACCCTCAAATAAGGAGTGGAAGATTTGATCTAAAGAGTTAAGCACCTAAGAATGGAATAACAGGCAATGCAAATGCTAAAACCAGTGCCATAAATAAAGAAACATTTGCATTTCAATGCTGCCCCTTTCCGACAGTAAAGGTAAAGGGACCCCTGACCATTAGGTCCAGTCGTAGCCGACTCTGGGGTTGCAGCGCTCATCTCGCTTTATTGGCCGAGGGAGCCGGCGTACAGCTTCTGGGTCATGTGGCCAGCATGACGAAGCTGCTTCTGGCGAACCAGAGCAGCGCACGGAAACGCCGTTTACCTTCCCGCCAGAGCGGTACCTATTTATCTACTTGCACTTTGATGTGCTTTCGAACTGCTAGGTTGGCAGGAGCAGGGACTGAGCAACAGGCGCTCACCCCGTCGCGGGGTGATCGGCAAGTCCTAGGCTCTGTGGTTTAACCCACAGCGACAGTAGTTAATAGCAATGGGAAATAAAATAAACTCTATGTTTTTTATTTAAAAAAACCCACAGGGTATGGTTTGAAGACCCATGAGGCTGGGGCTGGTCAGTGTCTGGATGTGATACTGCCTAGGAAACACATGCATGATGCCTTTCAGCCTTTCTCAACCTGTTCGTCCCCAGATGTTGAACTACAACTCCCATCACCCCTAGCTAGCAAGGCCGGAGCTCAGGGATGATGGGAGTTGTAGTCCAACAACATCTGGGGACCCACAGGTTGAGAACCACTGCAAGGCTTAGGTTCTCTAGTGGGGAAAAAGGCAGGAGATAAACGTAAGCATTTTATTTTATTTTTACGAAACCGCAGCATATACAATAAAAAGAGGGGGCCAGTTAAATTGCAGTGATAAAAGGGGTACATTGTGAGTTACAAGCAAATTTGGTGTCATTTCTACAGGAGAAAAGTTTTTACCTGTGTTCCTAACCTGTACTGGCCATACAGAAGTCAATAAAGCAAAGATTTGTCTTTGAAATGATGGCTTAAAAAAAGAAAAGTCAAATTGATTTAATAGAATTTGGAGAAATGGAGGCATTCACAAGACTTCACCACTAGATGGTGCTCTGTGCACAGTTCTTGAGTTTGGAAGCTAGGTTTGGGTGCACAACAAGGTTAAGGAAACTGTGGCCCTCCAGATGTTGCCAAACTACGGCTCCCACCATCTCTGGTCATTGGCCATGCTCGCTGGGGCTGATGGGATTTGTAGTCCAACAGCGCCTGAAGAACCATAGACCAAATCCCTGAAACAGAAGGAGAGGTGATCTTCCAGGCTGGAGAGGATGAAGAATTACAGTTGATTGCCAGGACAAAATGAGATTGATTGGTGATTCTGCTTTCTGAGAGGGCAGGAATGCTTAGAGCAGGGTTTTTAAAGAACCTGTCGCCTGGTCCTCCATAAATCAAGGAAGCATTTCAGCCTCCCATGTGTACTTAGGCATACATCGCTTTTCTTCTCGGCCTTGGAACTGGGAGGTAGGGGGCAGGGGGAAATGCAGAAGACAACGGGTATATTTATATATCTATATTTTATATCTACCTCTTCGTTTTGGTGGACTTCTTTGGGTTAAGCCTTGATTCTAAACCGGTTTCTTCAATCTCTTTGGTCACATCTGCCGTGTAATTTGAACGCCCCCTGAAAGCAGAGAGTGCAACTTTAGCTGTTGTTCATTGGGATCTCAGGGATGTCTAGACTTTGATCTGAGACCTCAGGATGGGCGGACAGATGTCAGGAGTGGTGGCAGCTTACTACCTCGCAGAATTGGTTTACCCTCGGATTTCGGTGATGTCTGAACCTTGGGTCCTGCTCTCTTGAGAGCCAGTGTGGTGTAGTGGTTAAGGGAGGTAGACACGTAATCTGGTGAACCAGGTTCGCGTCTCCGCTCCTCCACAGGCAGCTGCTGGGTGACCTTGGGCTAGTCACACTTCTCTGAAATCTCTCAGCCCCACTCACCTCACAGAGTGTTTGTTGTGGGGGAGGAAGGGAAAGGAGATTGTTAGCTGCTTTGAGACTCCTTTGGGTATAAAGCGAGTATCAAATCCAAACTCCTCTTCTTCTTCTTTTTCTTCTTCTTGCTCTATTTTTATGAAAGTGTAGATTGTACATTCACATACTGAGGAGAAAGGGGGTAGACTTCTTCACCTCCCATCATTTCTCATAATGCTAGAGTCCAGAATCATCCCACGATAGGCAGAGGAGCCAAGAGAACTGACAAAAGGAAGTGCTTTTCCACACGACAGATGACTAACTTATGGAACACAGCCACGAGATGTGGCGATGGTCACTGACGTAGCGTGAAGTGTTGCCAAAAACATGGAGAATTCTCTCAATGGCTACTAATCATGCTGGCCATGAGTGACATCTGGGACTGGAAGCTTTTCTTTTGGGAATTATAGGGACAGAACTACCTAAACTGTATAGAAACTTATTCATGTATACAGTGGCAAGAATGTTACTTGCCCCCAAATGGAAAGAAGCAGAAGTCCAAGCAAAAGAAGAATGGATACAAATGGAATATGCAGAAATGGCAAAACTTATCGGAAGAATGAGAAATCAAGATAACAAACTTTTTTATAAAAGAATGGAAATGGTTTATTGAATATTTGCAGATAAATTGTAAACAGATAAGAACATTGGCAGGATTATTGTAATAGCCTGCAGTTTCATAAGAATATATATTTAAAGAAGATGAATAAATAGGCAAATTAAGTTAATTTGGATATGCAGAATGTATTAAAAATAAATTCAAGGACTCGCAGAAAGAGGGGGAAAGGAAGTCAGGTTTTGAAATGTTAAAATGATTGTAAAATCAGTGAAATGTGTAAACATGGAAAGTATAAATAAAAATATTTTGGATTTTTTTAAAAAAATGAGTGGCATCTGGGTACCAGTTACTGAGGGAGTAACAGGAAAAGGTGTTGCCTTCCTGACCTGCTGAGTAACATCCCAGAGACATCTGGTCAGCCACTGTGGAAATTAAACTCTATTGTAGTTCCCATTTGTGGAGTATGCAGAAGACAGCCCTGGGTCGTTTGACCCTTTAATTGGTTCTCTTTACCCCTGCTATAAAAAACTACGGAAGACACTTTTAAAAAACTTTTAAAAGAGCATATAACTTTTACTTGGTATTCTTGCAGTTGCAAGTTAAATATACAATGCAGGTGTAGGTGTTTCCTAAATTGCTACGACACCTTACACATAGTTACAGACTAACTCTGGGGCAGACAGCAGCATAACAGTTTATACCTGCCGCTCTAACTGTTAAGACTGTTCAACTGCCATAACTGTACCAACTGCCATAAGTGTCACAGGGTGTCTGGTGTGACAGAGTCCTACAACTCTTGCAATTAACACTTTACATATGCATTTTGGATGCTTGTTGTTGTTTAGTCGTTTAGTCGTGTCCGACTCTTCGTGACCCCATGGACCAGAGCACGCCAGGCACCTCTGTCCTCCACTGCCTCCCGCAGTTTGGTCAAACTCATGCTGGTAGCTTCAAAGACACTATCCAACCATCTCGTCCTCTGTTGTCCCCTTCTCCTTGTGCCCTCCATCTTTCCCAACATCAGGGTCTCTTCCAGGGAGTCTTCTCTTCTCATGAGGTGGCCAAAGTATTGGAGCCTCAGCTTCAGGATCTGTCCTTCCAGTGAGCACTCAGGGCTGATTTCCTTCAGAATGGATACGTTTGATCTTCTTGCAGTCCATGGGACTCTCAAGAGTCTCCTCCAGCACCATAATTCAATGGATGCTAACATCCCATAAAAGATGCTGGATTAGATGAATGTTCTTCTTGCATTTCTTATGGGTGGGTGAAAAGACGCTTCCAGGTGGCATCGATTAGGAGGTACAAAGTGTCCCTTTTTACCTCTGAATCCCAGTTCAAAACATGCACACGCTGCAGATGAGTGCATCTGTTCAGTAGGATGATGTGGAGTAGCTTTAGTGAGGGCACATCAACTGGCTATCTGGAGATGTGTTGAGAAACAACGGCATGGCAAAGTCAGCTCGCATTAGCTTCACCCTGCCATGAATGTGCAAAAAACCTCAGACCGCTCAGCTCCTGGTATAATTGTTTCGACAGCGAGAAATCCATACACCCAGAGTAACCCCCCGCCCCAAGCCAATATTTTAGTGCCATAGCAGTGGCTTTCAAACTGTGTTCCCAGGGATAATGGGGTTCCTTGCCGGTTTAGATCGGCAGTGACAGGCAAGCTTCCCTGAAACATCTTGTCCACTGCGACCCATCTTGCTTTTGCAATGTGCAACATCAGGGGAGTGTCTGCCACTTTCTAGGCCGGAGAGCAGGGAGGGACCCAGGGTGAACTAAGAAGTTGCCTTTGAATGCATCCCAAGATTCTTTGCAAAATGCAGGGATTCTCAGCATGGAAAAGATGTTTCCTGAGAGTAAGGAATCTGATGCCTACTTTGTTGTGAGATGGGTTCATTAAACATGACGTGATCTGCTAGGTACCAAAAAGACTCACAGCGTAGTCCAATGATGTATACAGTGGTACCTCGGGTTACATACGCTTCCGGTTACAGACGCTTCAGGTTACAGACTCCACTAACCCAGAAATAGTACCTCGGGTTAAGAACTTTGCTTCAGGGTGAGAACACAAATCGCGCGGCAGTGGCATGGCAGCAGCAGGAGGCCCCTTTAGCTAAAGTGGAGCTTCAGGTTAAGAACAGTTGCAGGTTAAGAACGGATCTCTGGAACAAATTAAGTACGTAACCCGAGGTATCACTGTATTTGTTTAAATATAGGCTAATTTAAATGGAGGTACGAAATTTTAGGACAGCTTCTGAAAAGTTAACTTGCTGCCAAGGATTTGCTTTGCCGCCCAGGCTGAAGTTTTTTGGGTGGGTTTTCATGCCCGTACTGTGGTTTTCAGCACATCTAGCTGTGCCCTGTGCCCACACCAGTGCTCCTTAACATCTGTGGTGGCAAGAATAAAGACAACAAGCAGGAAACATTGTTACTTTTCTTTTAATGGCTGCCAGACTACTTGTTGCTTCACCAGAAGTAATTAAAGGGAGCTTTTCTGGGGGTCTGCTATAGTCCAATTTCTGGAGTTTCTGGAAAAATTGGCCCAAGAGGTGCACTAAAAAAGCCAATGCAATTCTGGGCTGCATCAATAGGAGTATAGCATCTAGATCAAGGGAAGTAATAGTGCCACTGTATTCTGCTCTGGTCAGACCTCACCTGGAGTACTGTGTCCAGTTCTGGGCACCACAGTTCAAGAAGGACACTGACAAACTGGAACGTGTCCAGAGGAGGGCAACCAAAATGGTCAAAGGTCTGGAAACGATGCCTTATGAGGAACGGCTAAGGGAGCTGGGCATGTTTAGCCTGGAGAAGAGGAGGTTAAGGGGTGATATGATAGCCATGTTCAAATATATAAAAGGATGTCACATAGAGGAGGGAGAAAGGTTGTTTTCTGCTGCTCCAGAGAAGCAGACACGGAGCAATGGATCCAAACTAAAAGAAAGAATTCCACCTAAACATTAGGAAGAACTTCCTGACAGTAAGAGCTGTTCGACAGTGGAATTTGCTGCCAAGGAGTGTGGTGGAGTCTCCTTCTTTGGAGGTCTTTAAGCAGAGGCTTGACAACCATATGTCAGGAGTGCTCTGATGGTGTTTCCTGCTTGGCAGGGGGTTGGACTCGATGGCCCTTGTGGTCTATTCCAACTCTATGATTCTATGATTCTAAGAGGTGCAGATAAAAAAGGACATATTCAATTCCACTTGGCAAGCTTTTATTAAACACACAGCAAAACAAGGTGCTATCCATGCAATCTCAGGGTGTTTCCATCCTGCTGCTATTTTGGGGTGGGATTCAATCACATACCAAGAAATTCGGGTTGCACAATTACAATTGATGGGAAAGACTTGCACAGAGGTTTTGTGATAAGAGATGGGGAAATGTGCTAGAAAGTAACACTTGCCTTGCTGCATCTAACATCCCTGCAAACAAAATGGAATGAATGTGCATTAAATCGCCATGTCAGCTAATCTCTCTGCAAAGAGATCGTGATGAAAGCTCAATGAACAGGTCACCTGGAAGTTTCCCCCAGAAAAATGCTCTCGTATGGAGTGGTGGGGTCCTTTGTTGGCTATTTGGCTTTACAAAAAGAAGATTGATACATAAATAAAGAGCTGTGGGGCTTGGTCTAAAAGATCTGGGACTTGCCTTCCCCTCTCCACACCTCTGCCAGGCCACCCACTAATAACATCCCTGCTAATTCGCTCAGCCAGCTCTTGCCAGTTTCTTCTGGGGCATCTGGAGTAACTGGAAATGGGACCCTTGGCCAGCAACCACCAAACTACCTGAAATAGCAACTCATTCAGCTCAAGTTCAACCCACATAAAAACAGCCAGCAGATCCTTGCCTAGCACCATAAAACAAAGCCAATTAGATTTATGTATCAGCAACAAGGCAGGAATACAAACACATCCCTTGAAATGGGATGGAAGCTACTATGGGTGGATATCTGCTGGCACAGCCTCACAGCTGTGTGCTCTTAAAGAGACATTGCGCTGTCAGCCAGTTACTGCCAGATCAATAGTTACAGCTCTGCCTTGGTTCTGAGCCTCCCTGAGAGATGAGCACCACTCGTGTGCAGCTTTTGCTTAGAGGAAGGCATCCTTTGCAAAGAGGACGCTATTCTAGAGCTATTAAGAGCCGTTGCAGATGATCTTTCGCCTGTCTGTGCAATTACTTAGCAGTTATGTTACTTGTTTGCTCTAGGGGGATCCCAGATGCGAGGGATTGCTTCTGCGGCAAGCTTGTCGTATTCTCCCAGCACTCAAATCAAGAATGTATTGGTGGGGAGAGCTGTGTGATTTTTCTTCTTTACCTAGCTAATCTATCCGTCTGCAGTTGGGAATGCTGCATGGATTGTGCTTAAAAGATGGTCCCCTATTGGATGGTTCTCATCGTGACATCACTGGCAGAGTGCTGTACTTTGAACTTGGAGACCAGGTTTCGATGTCCAGGTTGCTACAGTGGTGCCCCGCAAGACGAATGCCTCGCAAGACGAAAAACTCGCTAGACGAAAGGGTTTTCCGTTTTTTGAGTCGTTCCGCAAGACGAATTTCCCTATGGGCTTGCTTCGCAAGACGAAACGTCTTGCGAGTTCTTGCGAGTTTGTTTCCTTTTTCTTAAAGCCGCTAAGCCACTAAGCCGTTAATAGCCACTAAGCCGCTAAGCTGTTAATAGCCGCTAATAGCCGCTAAGCCGCTAATAGCCGTGCTTCGCAAGACGAAAAAACCGCAAGATGAAGAGACTCGCAGAACGGATTAATTTCGTCTTGCGAGGCACCACTGTATTTTCAGCCTCAGTCCTCTCTTCTATAAAATGGGTGCAATAGCAGTGACCTTGTAAGCATTTTCATAGGAGGGCAAGGGAAAACATACACATATACACCCTCCTTGTAGGCTAAATACAGCCTCAAGGCTCAGTTCCCAAAGCCATGCCAGTCTTGCTCGCATCTGCTTGTTTCCTGAAGTCATATGTAGGCACCCAAAGCTTTCCAGGGCATGCTAAATGAGCCCTCAGGTGTAACATTCGCTCTGCCACAAGGTTGCCTGCTCAGCATTTGGCGCCTAGAATTCCCTAAAGCTGAGCTCGGAGGACGAGTCTTCAAAATCCCAAGAGACAGTGCTTAACCTACAAGATGTGCTATTATTTTTATGTAATATCATGACATTGCATTTTCCTGTCTCGGCTGAGACCCAGGGTTCTCTGAGCAAGAGGTGGGCCTTGCTAGGGAAATATGGGGCACCTTCCTGGGAGGTAGATTGTTCTTCCTTAATAAGACTTGGAATGTCAGTCAAGTACTGCCAATTGCCTGCTGTCAAACATTCTACCAAGCCAATATCTCTGTTGCGTAAGCAGTAACCTTTTTATTCTGTCATCATGATATTATCTAGCAGCAAAGGCAGGCCTAGAAGTGCCTGGCCCACGTCAGACCTGCAGGAAGCAAGATGTGTACAGTACACACTTCAATTGCGTATCTCTTATATGAAATTACTTCTGTACTTTAAAAGGTAAAGGGACCACTGACCATTAGGTCCAGTCGTGGCCAACTCTGGGGTTGCGGCGCTCATCTCGCTTTATTGGCCGAGGGAGCCGGTGTACAGCTTCCGGGGCATGTGGCCAGCATGATTAAACCGCTTCTGGCGAACCAGAGCAGCACACGGAAACGCCGTTTACCTTCCCGCCGGAGCGGTACCTATTTATCTACTTGCACTTTGACGTGCTTTCGAACTACTAGGTTGGCAGGAGCAGGGACCGAACAACGGGAGCTCACCCCATCGCGGGGATTCGAACCGCCAACCTTCTGATCGGCAAAACCAAAAGAACTAGCATAGGGAAGTTCCTCAGAACTGAAGCATTTGGTTTTACACAAACTAGATATGGTGCATCATATGTACCACCCA